GCTCATCTCCTTGTCCCTTGTTAAAGTCCTGACTATACTATATCATCTAAAGCAATAATTTCTGTTTCAAGTCTTCCAGGTGACTCAGCCAGAGGTCAAATCCATACGGTCATCTCTTTGAGCCCTGTACTTAAAGGAGGGTAACTTGATCCTCTCAGGAGCTCAGGAGGAAACTGGACCCTCGACCCCAGAGCCCAAAGAAGGGGAAGACCTTCCGAGTGAAGGAGGCAGTGAAGGTGTAGATGTGTTCCTGGGTGACAGCGTTGACAAAGGTCACCCAGCCCACCTCGTAGTCAAGAGACACCCGCAGCTTCCTGGGCTGCTCCTCCAGGACGAGCCGTGTGGGGAAGGAGCCCAGGGCAGAGACAAAGCCCCAAGCCAGCCTCATGGCCCACACCCCCTCCTCTGGCCGCAGCCGAAGCTCCCCCTTCCGCCGTACGTCCTCACTGGCCACACCCACAGTGCAGCTGCCCCCGTGGGCCAAGTCTACACTCACCACCCATGTGTGTCTTCCCCTTGTGAAACCATGGTGGGCCAGGACACAGGTGGCCCGGTCAAAACGCTGGGGGCTGTCTGGTGAGTTCTGCCATTTGTAGGAGAATCGAACCTGCTGGCGGTTCTCAGACAAGAGGAGCTTGGGGTGGGAAGTCTGGGGATCTAGAGAGATGTGAGCTGTGGGGGAAACCAAAAGGGAAATAGATGTCAGCAGACATGTTATCTCCTTCACGAAAGACCTAAAAAGTCCCCTAGGCACCCACCTATTAGTGCTATTATTGCCACAACATGTATGGTGTCTATGCAGACCAACACCCAGGAACTTGTTAAAAATAGGCTCTAAGGCTTCACCCCAGACCACCCAAAAGGGAATTGCATTTTTAGAAGGATCTGCAGGTGACTGGTATGCATGTTAAAGCCTGAACAGCCTGCCGCAGAGGACATGTCATTTTCCATATGCATGCTCCCCTTGGTTCTATTGGGTCTCTGGAAGTAGTTCTGCTCCCCGCAAGCTGGTCGACTCCCAAAGCTGGGCACACCTGCTCTGATCTCCTGCTGCTGACACATGACGGTCTCCTCCTCCCATATTTTGGATCTGGGGGGACGGAGACATTCTCCTCTCAGTCCATACTTCATAGTTCTTCCCAGGGCACCTATGACTCAGGTCTTTGTTCCTGGCAGGTTCTCCCGCTCACCCATGGGTTATTCATTCTGCCTCAGTAATTCTAAAACCGTCAGGGTCTGAGGGCCACTTTTTAACATAAAAACTTCTGCAGACTTCCACATATTGTTACTTTTAGTATCCATAAATTGAGACAAATTGATAAATTCAGATATGTCCATGGGTAAGAGAGTCCCTTCCTAAACTGTGACTTCTCAGGGTCTTTGGCTGATAGACTGTGAGCAACAGCCTTGAGTGGGGTCCTTTCTGTTCATTTCTTTCTCACCCACAGGCTGCTCTCCTTCTGTCATCTATGAAAGGACACCTGCAAGGGAGTAGGGCCTCCAGTCAGTTCTAAGAACGTGATCAAAGTTCTCATCTAGAAAGCCTTTCCTGATAGAACTTGTCCCATTTTAGTTTAATCTTTCTACTCCCCTCATCATGTGTACGTGAGAATATGAACTTCATGCCAGGTGTGTGGTTTGTGTATGCTTTCTTCATGGTTCTTCCACAAGTCTTTGTAAGGTAATGACATGTGTGTATACTTATGTGTGTGTGTGTGTGCGTATTTTTTTCCTTTTCAATTTAGATTCTTCTCTCCCTCCTACCCAGACGTAGGATGCTTACCTGGTTCATAGTCCAACTCGAAGCAAAGTTTTTCTGTAAAGAGGAAATAAAACAGGATGAGACTTCATTAGTCTCACAGAACTATAGAACACTTAATGAGAAAACTAAGGCCCAGAGAAGGAAAGAAACAAAGAAAATAACGGAAGCTGAAATCTTCTAGACCAATGGTTCTAAACTTGAGCTTGCAGCAGAGTCCCCTGGAGCACGCGTGTTTCTGATTCAGTTGACTCGGGGTCAGACTGAGAATGTGCATTTCTAACAAGTTCCCAGGGTCTGCAGCTGCTGGTTGAGAGCCCCACTTTGAGACGCAGTCCCCTAGTCCTGAAGAGGCAGAGACCACGTCTGCCTTGCTCATCTCTGTATCCTCACTTTTCCATGCAGAGCCCAGCACATAGTAAATGCTCAAGAAATGTCTACTTAATGAATGGATAAGTGGGTTAATTTATTTCTTGTTCAGCTCAGAAATTTGGAGAATAGTCTTTGATTAGAGTAAAATTTCTTTCATTGCCAGGTCACTGGGAGTATTGCAGGGAGTGAATTTGTGGGGAAAATTCCTCTAGGGTGACACTTTTGTAGGGGGGTCATTTAGAAATAGGTGGCATCATTCATGATGTCACATGTGTGGAGAGGTAGGTGTTGGCAGAGGGCCACATTCTTGACTCTCGGTGCAAATCCTCCACACCCTCTCTTACCACCACTCCCTGTTCCAGAAAAGGGCGGCACAGAACCAGACGAATGAGAGGGAAGTGAGGGAAGCCAACTACCATGGGGCAAAGAGAAATATTGTTGCTGGTTAGTAATTAACAGTGTTTATCATCAAAAACTTATGTACTACAAATGCTTTTATGGGTTTTTTTAATTATTGAGAATGATAGCTTTTATTAATCATTATCTTATTGCTTAATGCAATTAATCAGATTTATTTAATTGCTTTCCAAATCAGTTAAATTTTTTTCCCAGAAATCTTCACTTTTATTATTTCTCTTCATTGTCACATCATCCTGATTTTATGAATATCTACAAATAAGGAAACGAAGGCACTGAAAGGGTACAAACCTTGCCAGAAGTGACAAAAGCATGGGCAGTGGAGCATGGGGGCCATCTCTAAAGCCAAGCTTCATGGTCCCCTGTGCTGTGTAAAGGCCTGGGGTGTGCTTACCCAGAAACGTCTTCATCTCCCTCTGCAGTGGGAGGGCCTGCTGGGGGAAGTCCCGAATTCTCTGGCCCAGCTCAGGGGACACAGCCTCTGGTTTCCGGCACTTTCTGGTTTCACATCTAGGGACACAGAAATAGTGGAGTCTGGGAATTCTCCTCCTTAGTGAAACCTCCAGACTCAGCCAGTTGCCTTTGTCTAATTGGGCATGGAGGTGCCAATTCCCATAGGAAGACATACTTCCTCTCGGATGGACCCCACTGCCCGATCTTGGGCATGCATTTCTACTGCTGTATATGTGAATGCACTTGAATATGTGAAAGTGTACATGTGAATTTTTATCCTTAATGTGAGAATGTTGTATATTTGTATGGCACTAATTGGGCTTGTGTGCATATGTACGTATGTGGGAAAAGAGAAGAGAAGAATTGTATCACTTACCTTATTAGAGTACTTCGGATATCCTAGGAAAAGAGAGAGAGAGAGAGAGAGAGAGAGAGAGAGAGAGAGAGAGATTGAGAAACAGTGATTCAGTTTCAACTTTCCTTCTCTCACTTTTCTTTTAATTAGAAAAGACAAAATACCATATTCTTATCTGTGGATAGAAAAGGGATACCAGATCCATAGAGTCACACGGTTTTAGAATTTTATGAGGCTTTCAAGATCAAAGAGCCCAACCCCTTATTTTTATTGATCCAGGTAGTGAAGTGGCCTACTCTGCTGTTAGAAGCAAAGGCAAGTCCCACTCCAATGTCTCCTGTTTCTCAGTCCTGAGTGTGTCCCCCTAAATCATGCTACCTTTCTGATTCCTTGTTGGGACCTCAATATCTCTCCTCCAGTGTGAGGAAGTGAAATAAACCAGGAAGAACTAACTAATTGGTAGGCAGTGGCACAGAAAATAGTTTGCCTTGGAAGTAACACCTGACATTTGTTTGCGTAGTACTTGATGCTTTTCAAAGTGCTACTTTCACTTTCATTAATTGTTGGAACCTCACCTGTGAGGTAGGTAAGAAAATTATCTTCCCTATTTGATGGATGGTAGAATGGAGAGACCAAGACCACAGAGCAACATGATCAAGAATTTTTGGGGAAGCCAGGACTAGAATTCAAAACTTCCTGTCCTGTGACCCATCTTCCACTGGGGATGCAGAGATGTATGAGTGAAGGAGACATGGCTTAGACATAGTGAAAATGCAAAAATATATATATATATATATAGCACAGGCAAGGTGAGCAGGGGCAGGTCTCACCGTCAGGAGCTCCCTTGCTGGCCTCTCATTCTTTTCCTCCAGTTCTGTGATCAAGGAGCTGAACCGGCAGATCTCCCCAGCGACCAGGACATCAAACTCATCCCGTTGCTTCAAGATGTCCCCATCTAGCCTCTCCAACTGGGCTAAGAGGATGCTCTGCTGCTCCTCCAGGAACTGGCTCAGATATGCAAACTCAGAAATCACTTTTTGTCTCTTTGTGGCCACCTGAGTCTGAGGGGACCAAGAGAAGGCCAGCAGGAAGTTATTTCTCCTCCTTTTCCTTTTTCTTCTTTTTCCTTAATTCACTCCCATCTCTCTCCTGGCCCAAATCCACATCCTACAAGGTTTGGTGGTAAAATCAGAGCTCCCGGCCCCACCTCCAGGTACCCAGACAGACTTGGAACTGCAACATGGTTTCCTTTCCACCTGCTACGGGTTTCTGGGAGCATAGCCTCAGCACCATCTGCTGGAGTTTCTAAAAAGGTAGGCTGAGAGGAGGCTTTCACCTTTTACACACTATATGCACAACATTACAGGCACAATCTCATTTTAATCTTTACAGAAATTTAATCTCTACATCACAGAAAAATAAACAGGGCAGAGAGTTGCTTGAAGTCATAAAAGCTGGTTAGTGTTGGGATCAGGATTCAAAGTCAGATGGCTTCAAAGCCCTATATGCTGCAGTGCCTCAGTTTCAGGGAACCACGGGCCCCTGAGAAAAGGGAGGGGCTGCAGAAGGGATGATGACCTACCAGGAGGACTTGTATCCTTTGACTTTCTCTTGACTGGATTTCTTGAACCTCCTCTCTCTCTTTCCTTAGACACTCAAGACACTTCTGTATTTGTTCCTGGAGAGAAGGAACATAAAATATTTAAGAGGGAAACAATGATTTGCTAAGGGTGGTCATCTCATCCAATCTTCTGCCTCCAGAAATGGAATGACCCAAGGGAAGGCGTCACTCCCTTAGCTGACAGTGCCTGGGCCTTAATTGTCCTTCACAGCTTACTCTCTTTGGGTCATTTTCCTCTTGCTCTTGTTCTTCAAGAATTCTGATAAGGACTTTCCCCATTTATCCTGTGTTATCATAGGCTGTGACTTGGTGTTCCCACTTGAGCCTTTCTTTCTTCATGTGAAACACCCTAATTTCTTTTGCCTTTGGTAAATGGCATCTGGGATCTGTCTTGAGCTTGATATGCCTTCTTTGAAATTATTACAACTTTCTCACATGTCCCAAAGGGAACACATCCAAATAACCCTCTCCTGTGAATGGAATCAATTTCCTGTGAATGATTCTGAATGGGAGAAGAAACTTGGATAATGCAAAAATAACTGATGAACTATTCTAAAGTTGCCGGCTCTAGAGTAGAGTGAGGAGGAGGTAAACACATGGAAATGCTCATATAGGTAAATTTAGAAGTACATATAGAATTCTCATCATCAAATGTTAATTAACTAATTGACACATACACACACTTGTGCTAAAACACAATATATAAACAGCTAAAACCAGCACTCATTTAATGACGGACAAAATTACACGCCACATATATTTAGTTAACCTACATATGTGTAAACAATGTGTAAGCACGAATTTATTCACAAATATGAGCAGTTACATTTACACACTCAAATAATCAGACTTCCCCCAAACACACCACATGCACTGGTAAATATGCAAACACTAATAAGTATACACACCTTTTGTGCAATCATTCCCTCAAATACAAACTCAGACATCCTCAGACATTTCTGACTGATCCATTGCGCAGACACACACACTCACATTTTGATCACTCATCTATTCAACAAATATTCGTTGAGTTCTTATTATGTAATGGCCATAAGTAAACCACAAGGAACATGCTTAAAATTTAAACACGTGATTTACCATGACTGAGTATATTGCCTGGGTGATGATAGAAGTAAGGAGATAGAATTTGACTTCATAGTAGCCCAAATAATCCACAGCTCTGCTCTAACTCTCTTAGTCCAGACCCATCCTGGGAATGCCCAGTTTGCCCTCTCCTACCCTGTAGGGACCTGCTGCATCCTCCAGAAAGCGTACAGTGTGGGTTCGGTGCTCCCAGGCCTCCCGGCACACCACGCACAACTGCATCTCATCATCCTCACAAAAGAAGTAGATTTTCTCCTGGTGCTCGTGGCAGGTGTCCTCTTCTGAGCCCGGCCTGGACACCAGCTTGAGGCGCTCTATGTTCTCTACCACGCTGGCCAGCTGCCAATTGGGCCGGAAGCTCCCTGGACGGAAAGGCTCCTTGCAAAGTGGGCAGGTGGGAGGCTCCTCAGGGTCTGGGCCCGGGATCTCACAGTAACGGGTGAGGCAGCCACGGCAGAAATTGTGGCCACAGTCAATGGTGACTGGCTCCCTCAGGGATCCTTGGCAGATGGGGCAGTTGACCTCATCTGCCAGGCTGGTCACAGAGGCGACCGAAGCCATGATGCTGCTGCACTTTGGCTTCCTCAAGTCACTCTCTCTGCTTGGATGAGAAAAAAGGGCTAGGAGAACAGTGAGGACACACACTCACACACCCACATGTGCACACAGTCAGAAACAGGTACATCTTAAATACACACTGACAGCGTCATGGATACACACACACAGGCATGCGCGCAAACACAAAGGCAAGGCACCACTTGCATCTCTGGTGGCCAGGGCTCTGCTGTCCTCTTTCCAAAGGAACAGATACACACCCTCCAATGTCAGGGACAGAGAAATAACAGAAGAGGGGGAGGAAGAAGAGGAGGAAGAAGGGATCACAGCATTCCAGAGATGGCCTTAGTTACTCTCTGGACCAGTATCCATGACCTGAGACTTGCAGCTCCTTCCGGTCCATCCAGAGACACTCACAGCAGAAGGAAAGTGGTGGCATCTTGACCCTCTACAGTTGAAAGGGATCGTTCTTCTTTTGGGAGGCAGGAAGAAGACTGAGTCACAGAGCAGTGATGCCACCCCAGCCTCCCTGCAATATGACTAGCTGTCTCCAGAGCGATTGGAGGTATCAGCCAGCCCAGGAGAGTGTGGGGACCCAGATAAGGTGGTTGTGCCCGAGAGAACACGGTACAGGCAACTTCACTGGTGATGCCTCAAATGGCCTGCCACAGAGTTCCAGAGGGGTTGGCAAATACCCTGTGTGGGGAGGAGGAAGAAAAATAGCAACAGCCAGCCTTTATTTATGATGACTGTATTCCTCACACTGAAACATAGGATCTTATTTCTTCCTCCTGTCTGTTCTGTGACATCAGTGCCATTAGGATATTAGCTGAGCTCTTGGCCAGGTTATTTAGCTTGCCCAAGGCACACAAGTAGGAAGATGGGCAGCCATAATTTGCACTCAGATCTGAGTCTCAGAGTCATGCTGTCAAATAGAAATACAGCATGAGCCACATATGCAATTTAAAATTTCCTAGTAGCCAAATTAAAAAGTAAAAAGTAAAAACAATTTTAATATTTTATTTAGCCTCAAATATTATTATATTAACATTAATATCATATCACTTAACATGTAATCAGTATAAAAATTAGTGATGTGATATTTCACTTTCACTGGTGCTGTCTTTGAAATCTGGAGTGTATTTACACTGGCTACTTCTAAATGCTTAGCAGCCACGTGTGGCTGGGGCTCATGTGTTGAACAGCGAAGCTCCAAGGGCTGCACTCTTGGGCTGAGGTGGTAGGAGCAGGGAGGGTGGGAAGGGAAGATGATGTACAAAATAGCTGAAGTGCAAAGGGAGCAAGACAGGGTGGAAGTCTGACCATCAAAGAGGGAATGGAAGGAATTTTTCCTTGGTTATAATTACAGTTCAGGTGAGTGGATGAAGAACCATGACTGTTTGATCATTGTCTTGGCTCGAAGTTCGGGAAAAGCACAGGGCTGGAAGCTGGCAAACTTGGATTAACGCCCCCTCTTCGGCTTTCTACCTCTGTGACCTAGGGGAAGTCATTTTGTCTTTCAGTTTACATTTCTTTCTCTGTAAAAGGAAGGTAATCATACTTTCCCCCAAAGGTTGTCATCAGATTGGATATAATATAAAAATACTAAATGTCAGACAAATGTGGTTAAATTTGTTTATCTCATTGACTCATCGAGTTTTCTAAATTTTTTCAACATGAATCATTTGTATTATAATCCTTTGCCTTCTCCTACCTGCAGTTAAAAATGAAAATTGAAGTACAATGTTGCCAAAACTCCAGTGAGGACACTGATGTTGGAGGGTGGTGGGGGTTAGGAGTTTAGAGGATATAAGGTGAGTCAGGAAAAGGGGGGCAGAGGAAGGGGTCCATGAGCCGTCGCCACTAGTGAACCTGCAACATCTGAACAGAGCCCCCAGAGTCCCGGGAGTCGCCACCCACTCCGGCTAACTTTGCTGCTGTGGGCGTGCCTCAAAGCCAGCAGTTTATGGCTCCCACCTGCTCAGTCGAATAGAAAGCAGTGTCATCTTCTCAATCTTCCCACCCCACTGTCACTAAGGAAGGGATTCCAGGAAACCCCATCTCCCTGTGACCTCATGACATGTTCTGCTCCCCAACCCAGGAACCTGAAAGTCCAAGAGTGGAGAAAAGTCTGTCCAGGCCGCTGCTGGGAAATGCTGGGTAATTCGAGATGCCTTGGAGTTTGGACCCACTTTGCTGATGGGTGGTAGCCAGGGTTCTGGGAAACACAAGAGGTGGGGCCAGGTGGATTCTCTGCCTGGACATTACTGCCTTCCTTTCTCTTGGCCTCCTATTCTTTTCCCTCTGTGACTCATGTGAAAGTGACTCAGTTTCAGAGAAAGAAAATTTATGTGGCCTGAGGCAGAGGTCTGAGTGAAAGAGCTGGGAAAGGCACTGAGATGCCCTCAACTTCCTCCCACAAGGGGGTTGCCTGTCTTGCCTGCAAGGGACCCCTGGAGGATGCAGTGACCACCTGTGGACACACCTTCTGCCGGCTGTGCCTCCCTCCACCCTCCCACAGGGGGGCCCAGCCTTCCAGCAGGGTTCTGCTCTGTCCCCTTTGTAAGGAGAAAGAGAAGACTGAGATCCTCATGGCCCCCGTGCCCCTGGGCCCTCTGGGGGAGACGTACTGCAAGGAACATGGTGAGAAGATTTACTTCTTCTGTGAGAATGATGCCGAGTTCCTCTGTGTGTTCTGCCGAGAAGGTCCCACCCACCAAGCCCACACCGTGGGCTTCCTTGAAGATGCCATTCAGCCCTACCGGGTAAGAAGTGAGACTTTAGTTTCAGCCTGCTCGGGACAGAACAGTACTGTCATGGTAAGGGGATGGGGCAGGGGTCTGGATAAAGGGCAATAGCTTCCACATTACAGAATCCAAGGCTGTTGGGACACTGGAGCATTCCCAGACTTAGGGGGCCATGGTTCCACTTGGATGTGCAGTCGTGATAGAACACAAAGAGTTGTAGCCATGGCTTCATCTCTGTGGAATAAAAAAGAGCCTCTGTGCAGAGCAGGATCTCCTGCAGGCTAAGGGCTGGGTGTACCTCATCTCCCGGGATGCAGAATGGGTATGGGATTTACCAAGGCCCTGACCACAGGGCTCAGAGGGAAGAGAGGGCCAGGGAAGGGCAACCTGCAAGCACTGCTCTTCTTTTTGGGAAAGGAAGGTGTGGCAGTAGGCCATCTAGTCTTGGGGACATTATCAATTCCTGTCTGCCTCTTGGATCTCTCTCTTGTCATCCAGTCACCAGGTCTGGAAGTGGTTTCTTCAGACGCATTTCTCAAGTCTTTAACTCTGCATTATCCCCACAACTACCAATCCAGGTTCTCGATATCTGTCACCCAGACTTTGCATGGTCTCCGATGTGTTCCCTGTCTCCACTCTCACCTTTCCAATCGCCCTCCAACCTGCTTCGAGGTAGATCTTCCTAAAACACAAAGCCTATCATATCACTCCCCTATTCATAATCCTTCCATGGATTCCTAGTGCCCAAAGAAGGCCCAAAGTTTTTAGGAAGGCACCCAAAGCCATTTGCAGTCAGGATCCTGCTACCTGTTCAGTATTATTTCTCAGCCACCCTTCCCAAGGCACCATGTGTTCAGCCAGACTGACCTGTACATACCTGCTGTTTTCTGAATTCCTTGTTTCTAATACTTTTCACATGTAGTTCTTTCCTCCGAGAATGCTCTCCTCTTCCCTCACTATTTTTTTTTTTATCATTTTAACAGTTTTTAAATGTACAGTTCAGAGGCTTTAAGTCCTCTCCTCCCCTTCTCTTACCCAACTGGAAATTTATCTTTCAAGGCCACTGTAAATGTTTTCTGCTTTCTGAAATCCTTCCCTTGTCCCTATAGGCAGAATTGTCCCTCCTCTGCATTCCCAGCTCTCTGTGTGCCCACCTTGATTATTGTATTTGTTTATTTGTATTTTAATCATTCATGACTGATTCCTTCCATATATAGTGATCTCTTTAGGGACAAGGACTGGGCTTTTTTCACCTCTGAACTCTTCAGCACTCAATGATGTGCCAAGAACACGGTAGACGATTAATATCTGTATGTTGAATTATAAATTAAGCCACCTCTTTCACCCATTCTTTTCCCCACAGAATCGTCTCAGGAGTCGATTGGAAGCTCTGAGCATGGAGAGGGATGAGATTGAGGACATAAAGAGTCGGGAAGACCAGAAGATCCAAGTGCTTCTGGTAAGGCCACATTATTGGCCACTTTCTTCTTTGGGGGTTTTCTTAACAGACTCTGGAGAATCCTGTTGTCATCTGATAGCTATTGCCTGGCTGGAAAGAACTGGAAAATTGTTCTCATTTATCTCCCTGCATCTGCACAAGGGCATTTGGGGCCAAAAGTGTGGAATCCCAGAACCTCAGAGCTGGAAGTGGTTTTGACTCTTCTCTTTCTCCTCCTTCTCTTCCTCCTTCCCCTCCTCCTCCTCCTCCTCTTTTTTTTTTTAAGAAATCTGCATTTATTTTCATACAGGTTCATTGTTCTATAGTTTCAACATTTTTCTCTCAAAAAAACAAAAGACTCCCAAAGCTTAGAACTGGATCACTTGGCCCTTTCTCTTCTTATCTCCTCTAAGTTCAAAATGCTTGCATCTCTTAATGGCCAGCATCCTCTCAGATCTACAGTTAGGCTCAACACATTCAAACCTCAGCACAATCTTCCTTGTGGTTTTAGCTTTCTTCGAGAAAATCGGCTTTGTCCACTCTGTCCACATAGCCACTCTGCTTCCGATCATAGAGCCTCTTTTTCTGGGCATACAGGGAATCCTTGCCCTTCTTATACTGGGTCATTTTGTGAGGCTGATGCTTTCCACACTTCTTACAGAAAGTCTTTCGGGTTTTAGGCACATCGACTATCTTTGCAGAACACCATAAACTTGGCATCCACGCTCCTTGCCTTGATCTGCTCGCACCTAATAGGAAAGGTGTTTTGACATCTTCTAATCCAAGACCCATCTTATCAGTCATATTTTTACAGAACAGAAAATCGAAGTCCATGAAAGCAATGCTCCCAAGGTCACATGGCAAAGCCCAAGTTTATGATGAAATGGCTAGAACTTGGATCTCTTGACTCTTAGTACATTGTTCTTCCCATTGCAGTCTGTCTGCCTGCAGGCCAGAAGGCGGATATTAGTGTCTGCATTCTAGTCCTGACTACAAGGCTGATCCTGAAGACAGCAGGCAATGATGTGGCTATATCTGGCTCCTTCCCACATCTTTTCTTGTGCTACAAAGTTATTCATGAGGAAATCTGCAGTGTGGGAATTTCTGGTACCTTGACCAAAGAGACAGAGTTTTCGGACAGAAAGATTTCTCCAGCATCCCTCAACTCCCATCAAGCTCTGTAGATAGATGGTGACCTCAATGGCTAAGAGCAATGCCACACACTATTCTGATAAGTTGTGCTGACTCTAATTACAGCTTCCTCTCACTTCAATAGCTTTCTAAGAAATAACTATAATTATCTCCATCTGCTTCTAGGGAATGTATGATGGGGTTAGGATGGTATCATAGATGTGGAAGGATTTTTGAAAAGTTCAGCATGGTTCAGAGAGCAGAATGTGGCATTATTATTAGAATCTCTAGGTAAGACAAGAGCATATAGCCCTCATCATTAGTAAGTTTATCCTGAGACGTACCTACTTCTACCATAGTGTTATCTGTGAGGATGAATCTTGGAACTAGTTACTCTCTAGTCCTCTTAATCAATAGTAAGTATGTAGAAGATCATCCCGGAAGCCAGCTCTGTGAGCTTTTCCCTAACCACATTGGTCTTTCTACCCCTGGCAGACTCGGATTGAAAGCAAGAAGCAGCAAGTAGAAGCAGCCTTTGAGAAGTTGCAGCAGGAGCTGAGGAAACAGCATTGTCTCCTGCTGGCCAGGCTGACTGAGCTGGAGCGGCAAATCTGGAAGGAGAGGGACGAGTACATCTCAAAGGTTACTGAGGAGGTCACCTGGCTTGGAGTCCAGGTCAAGGAGCTGGAGGAGAAGTGTCAGCAGCCAGCAAGTGAACTTCTACAAGTGAGAGACATTCCACGACTTTCTGGGATAGGAGAGGGTCTCCACAGGAAGGGGACACTATGCTGTGGGCAAAAGATACTGGAGAGAAGCAGGAAAGGAAGATTATTTCTAATGGGAGGGAGTGATGGTTATCAGGTTCTCTTGTCCCAGAGAGGTTACAGAGATGCAGACCCCAAAAGGCTGGATGACCTGCCCATGCATTGTGGTCATGTCAAGGGCTTTGGAGTCAGACAGTCTTGGGTTTGAGTGTCGGCTCTTCCAGCTGTGAGACCTTGGCCAGTCTTGTAACCTCTCTAAACATGGAGATAATAATATCACCTCCCTCACTGGGTTGCTAAGATAAGAAACAATCTATGCAAAATGTTTAGCATGGTCCCTAGCTCACAGAAAAAAAAAAACTCAATAAATGGAGTCTATTGTGATTATCATTTATAGTATCCTGTTTCACATCAGGTCTGGCTGATAACTCTACCATCTCTTAATTGCTGGATGCAGGACACATCCCCAAGATAAGGCTGAGACGAATGAACTGACAACAGAGTTCCAAATTAGTAAGGAAGCATGATGTAAAAGAGCAGTATCATAAGTAGGTAATTAAACAGACACAACTTTCTGCAGGAGGAAAGTTTTGATCTTCTATGTTAAGGAAGAAAGGATGTACAGAATCTCTGATGGGAAAGATGTGTGGGAATTAAGTGCATGTTCTTTTTTATTTTGTAGGATGTCAGAGTCAACCAGAGCAGGTAGGGCCCACTCCCCCATCTCATCTCCTTTATACTCGACAGGGGGACTGAAGGGGAGGGGCACACAAAAGCAAAAGTAATCAGATGCACCGTCCCATTCACTCACACATAAACAGCCCAGACTTAAAGGTTTGTGTTCTAAAGGTGCATTTTTAAACTGACTGTTTGGTATCAGGGACACACTTTTTCCCCCAGAAGTGAAGTTATAAATAAGAATTATGTTTTTAGGATAATCTGGGAAGTTCTATTTAATCCCTGAAATTATTAGTGCTTGAGTCAGTATACAACACTATCAAAAGTGTAATGCTGGGGAAATTTCTATATAGAATATGATAAATGCAGAACTTTGGAATACCAGCCTGTTCTTTTAATCATTTTTCACATTCAACTTCTCTATTTCTTCAGAATTTCAAGTGCTAGGAGGCATTATAAATATATGTTCCTTTTCTTTCTTCTCTGCTATGAGCATGAGCAGTCTGCCCTGAGGTGAGCGGAGACACAGCAACTAGGGAATGCTTGTCATATGCCGTGTACTCTTGCATGTGTAGAGAGGCTTAGCCCAGGTGTCCATGAATCAGGAAGTGTCTCTAAATATTCTTTCAGAATGTTAGAGATTTAGATCTAGGAGGGCCTGAAAGGTCTTCTAGTCTGATGAAGAAGCTGAGACCCAGAGGCAGAAATGCTTGTTCGAGGTCACACAGCAAACAATAAGCAAGAACTGAGCTGAAACCAGATCAAGGGCTTTTTCACTGTAGTATATGGTTTTTTTACACACACACACACACCACCACCACCACCAATCCCTTTTCCCTTGTAATGAACAGCACATAAATTAGAAAGAATAATTTAAGTCTGTTTTTCAAATGGTACCATACTGCCCTCTTTCTGCCCCCACAGGCCCAAACATTCTCTTAAAGGACCTATTTATAATTCTTAAGTAGTTACCATTAGTTCTTCTTAGGTCAACTGAAATGTTTCTTGCTTTAGTAGCTACAAATTTCTAGCAGAGATAAAGAGATGATACTCAGTCTAATTATTCACCAAAATTAGTTTGATTTTAGCCTCACTTAGTCTGTATCACCCAAACATTAGTTTTGGAAATTATACCTGATTACCGACTTGTTTGCAGGTGTGAGATGAAGACTTTTGTGAGTCCCGAGGCCATTTCTCCTGACCTTGTAAAGAATATCCGTGATCTCCACAGGAAAATAGTTATCCTCCCAGAAATGATGGGTACCTTCTCAGGTAAAGGGGAAAGGCAACGGCTTTCGTCATTTCCCATTAGTTGTCCTTCTGTCTTCCATCCATCTCCATCTTTCCTCACCTTCAAAACCTACCTCAAGATGTCTTCCCTCCCTTAAGCCTTCCCTTAGTGGTCCCACTCTGCCCAGGGGGAATCATTCCCTAAAGCATTTCCTCCTCTCCCCAATGACCGGCACTAGGACTGAGAGTCCAGGGAAGTGAGGACAGCTTCTCTCTTGTTAGACCACAGCAGAAGCTGAGCCTTCTCCCATCCCTGTCCTCAAATTGTTCCCAGAATACACTGCCATTGGAGGTACCTATAAGAAATAACATCACAGATCTTTCTGTTCTGCTTCCCTCAGAAAACTTGGTGCGTCATCTGGAAACAGATTCAGGTAAACAGCTGGGAGTTTCGAAGGCGTTCCTCTATTTATCCATTTCAATCCAAGGCAGCAAACAGAGTGATTAAATATATGAACTCTGGAGCCTAATTGCTTGGGTTTTCTGTTCCACCTCTTGCTAATTATAAGACACTGGGCAAGTCATTAAGCTTCTTTGTCTCACAGTTTCTTCGGCTATAAAATAGAAAATATAATAATACCTACTTTATAAGTAGCTGGGAGGTAAATGAATTAATACATGCAAAAAGCTTAGTATAGTACCTGGCACAGAGTGAGCGCTCAACTAATGTTAGTTACTTGTATAGATCTTATATTTATTCAAAAATATTTATCAAACCCTTGTTTCTTGCCCAGCATTGTGCTAGACTCTTATTGACCTGAGTAAATATTGTATTTTTTAAAAATAGCCTTCACTTTGAAATTGATGCTTACTTTAGAAACTCTTTCCATAAGCATCACCTCATTCTGCTTCTCAAATTTAATGTGCAGAAAAATCACCTAGGGTATCCTTTAAAAATAGATTCTGATTCAGTAGGTCTGGAATGGGGCCCAAGATTCTGCATTTCTAAGCTCCCAGGGAAAAGCTGCACTTTGAGTAGCAAAACCTTACAGCACAGCACCACTTACGGGTCGGTAGAAGAGCTGTCATCCTTTGCCCTCACGAACCAGAAGGGGAAAGTGAAGTACAGAGAAGCCGGGCCAATGGCAGGCTGCACAAGGCGGTGCTCTTTCCGCCTCCCTCGTACTTCCTTCCGTGCTCCAGGGGCACTTTTAGTGCTGCCAGCTCTGTTGATGGCGCGCTCTCCTCCCTCTAGGGGTCGTCATCCTGGACCCTCAGACCGCCAGCCGGAGTCTGGTGCTCTCCGAGGACAGGAAGTCAATTAGGTACACCCGGCAGAAGCAGAACCTGCCCAACAGCCCCCTGCGCTTCGAGAGCCTCCCGGCAGTGCTGGGCTCCGCGGGCTTCTCCTCCGGACGCCACCGCTGGCAAGTGGAGGTGCAGCTGGGAGAGCGCGGCGGCTGCATGGTGGGGGTAGCGGGGGAGGGGGTGAAGAAGAGGGGAGAACAGGGCCTGAGCACCGACGAGGGAGTCTGGGCCGTGATCTTCTCTCACCAGCAGTGCTGGGCCAGCACCTCCCCGGGCACCGACCTGCCGCTGAACAACATTCCGCGCAGCATGGCGGTCGCCCTGGACTACGAGGCGGGGCAGGTGACCCTGCTCAACGCTTAGACCCATGCAACCATCTTCACCTTTACCGCCTCCTTCTCCGGCAAAGTCTTTCCTTTCTTCGCCGTCTGGAAAAAAGGTTCCTGCCTTACTTTGAAAGGCTAAGCCCGGAGCGTTCGAAGGGCGGCATGGCCGAGAAAGCAGCGCTCTGGGATCCAGCTCCGCCGCCAGTCAGCCGTGTGACATTGGCTGATTAATTGTGCCATGGAGAAGGGAGGTTGAGTCCGCACGGCTGTGTAGTTGTTTTTACTTTCCGTCTTTCAACTCTCTGACGCCGCGACCCTCCCACTGACGCTCCCGTCTTCCCTGCACCTCCTAGTGGAAAACCAGAGGGGCTAGGCGGTGCTGAGGAGCCAGCGGGGTTTTGGAAAAAATAAGAATCTAAAATAAATTTTTCGAAGCTTCAAAATAATCATCAAGGGAAAATCCAGAACTTTGTTGGGCTTGAACTGACTTTTTATTTCGATATAAAGGCTTCTGCCTTTACAGGTACTCTTCAGCCAGCCCTGGGTAGACCTGGGACCCCTTCCTTTCTGACACCCTTCAAGTCATTTCTCTTTCTTGTAGAGAATGTCCTGACAAAGTGAATGACAGAACCAGACTTCTGCATTTCAATGCTGTTGGGGCCAAGGAAAGACTTAAAGCCAGTGGAACGTCTATGACTAAGGCACAATCCTGTTCCTTCTTTCACTCAGGACTTGCCTAATAGCAGTGGAACTAGACCCCACTGTTTAATAAAATGAGGCAGTACCCTGTCAAATATTTATTATTATTACCATTGTTATTGGACACAGACACAGGCCACACGTTAACTTTCCAAAGCAAAGTATGACTCTGTAATAATTCCCACACCACCACCACCACCATCCTTTCTGATTCTAGCTCTCTCTCAAATTTAACACATTTCCACCCTCCCAACCCAACCCCTGAAGAAATCTACCTTCATCCCTAATCCAGATTCCCTTCAGTATGAGTCAACGTACAAAATGACTTTATGAACCCTGCTCCCAAAGTGTAGGTAGGGTCAGATGTTTTAAACTAAGACATTCTAAACACTTGTACCATATGTGAATTTTATTTCGAAATTGTAACAGGAGTCATTGTGATGTGAATATTTACTCTAATTTAACTGGGCAAAAAAAAGCCAGAGGACTTGAGATTTCTTCTGTCCTCCCCTGTGACAAGCAGAACCACCATGTCTAATCCAGAAAAAGAATGAAATTGTTTGGTAGTCCAACTTAGTAGTAATATTGCCTAACGTTTGTTATAAAAGTAGTATGTGCTCATAGTTTAAAAGAAGATTCAAATATTTCAAAGAGTATAGGTGAGAAGTCCCTCTCCCCACTCAGCACTTGCCCTTATCACATCCCACACAATTGGTATCAAATTTTGTGTATCCTGCCAGTTTCGTATACAAGTGTATTTAGCTTTATTTTTTTACACGAACTTACCACAAATTCTCTTTGCAACCCCGCAAAAGACAAACTATGTGCAACCTGTGTTCATTGTAACACTTGTCAAACATTAAAGAGGTCAAAAAGTTTTTTTCAAAAATACATTTTCCTTTGAAACTTGTAATAAACCTGTGAATATATAAGACTTACTTTGTTTCTCTCGTTGTGTGGTTGAGAAAACTGGCACAGCTGGTCTTTATAATCGCAGAATCTACAGGTCCTGGTCCTCAGTCCTTCAGTCTGGTGACCTTTCAACCACACTCAGGCTGTTTAACTTCCTCTGCACTGAACTAGTGTTTTGGACATGTAAGGCTTTTTTGGTTGAGTGTGAAATTGAAAAAACAACCGATGTTCTTTTAACTAAAATTACATTGGCATCAACTGAAACTTTATTGAATTTGGGGAGGGTTAGGAGGATTTAATTTAGAGAAAATTGACATCGTCATCCTATCCATAAACATATTATCTCTCTGGCTATTTAAATTTAGTTTTATGTCCTTTAATGAGATTGTGAAATTTTCTCTATAGAACAATTTGGTAATATCTAGTAACATACTGTCCTTTGACTCGGTACTCCCTCTAGAGAAATGTTCACACACGTAAACAATGAAACATTTTAAATAGTTCAGTACAACTTAAATTACAGAATGGAGAATAAAGTGTAATATATTCATATTATATGTTACTACACAACAGTTTGAATGAATGAATCATAGCTACATGTATCTATATGGATAAACTTCATTAGGTAACTTAGAACACTTGTCTGTAAATCTGAAGTATTTTACGAGAAAACAAAACCTGCTCTTCATGAAGAGTACATTTTGAGGAGGCTCTGATATTTATAAGGTTTGCATTGCTATTATGTTTTAATTATAACTTATAGTTGGTAAGAAAAACAATGTTGATTTTAATAAGTTAATCTCGTATTCAACTATTACTAATTCTAATAGTTTGTTGATTCATGGGGTACCTGTTCTGTAGGATAATTGTGAGGTTTAAATTACTTAAGATGTAATATAGTTCTGGAAACCAACTCCAATGTGGGGCAGGGGTGTATGGTTTTCCTAAACTACCACCAATTCTTTGGATATCAGCTGGGTGTCCTACAATTTAACACAATTGTGACACTATCAACCCAAAGATAGCATCGGATTCCACAAGGACTCAGTCCTATAAGACTGCTCTCCTTTTCAAATGCCACTTGTAAGTCCAGGTTGTTACCTGGGCTTTGACTGACCAGCTATAGAGTGGAGGTCCTATGAGTCTTGGACTTCAGATGCCAGTAGCAAGTCTAGGTTGTTACCTATACATCTGACTGACTGGCTACAGAGCGGAGGTTCCTACAACCCTCTCCTTGGGTTAGATTAATTCTTTAGAGCAGCTCACAGAACTCAGGAAACCCATTTACTCACTGGACTACTGATTTATTATAAAGGATACAAATCAATAGCCAGATGAAGAGATACATAGGATGTGGACTTTAACAAAGGAGTTTCTGTCCTCATGAGTTTGGGGCCCAGCACAGTGGTATGTGGAAGTGTTACAGTTCAGCCTGGAAGCTTTAAAAACTTCCTTCTTTTGGGTTTTTAATGGAGACTTTATTACATATGCATGGTTGATTAACTCATTGGCCACTAGCAATTGATTCACCCTCTAGTCCTTTTCCCTTCCTTGGAAATCGGGGTGGGACTAAAATTTCCGCCCCAAAGTTCACCACTTGGTTTTCCTGGCAATTGGCCCCCCTCCTTAGGTGCTTTCCAAAAGTCAGTTCATTAACATAAGCTCAGCTGTGGAAAGGGGCTTGTTATGAATTATAAGAAACCCATTTCACCTAAGAGATCAATATAACAAAAGATGCTCCCATTACTCTTGTCATTCAGGAAATTCTAAGGATTTGGGGAGCTGTGACCCAGGAACTGTGGATGGAGACCAGACAGATATGAGAAATATATATTTGGTCATTCAGATGTAAATCACAATATTGCAACAATTAATTGGCTTGGTATAGTGCTTGGCATCTAGTGTGAGCAGTTAATGTTGATGTTTGGCCATGTTGTAACAGAGTAAAATGCTCAGTCTTTCTTTGACTATCTTGTTCAAGCCTGCTTTGTTCCCATGCCTTCAGGCTAATAGCTTCTGTTAGTCTTACACACAGACATGCTAATTGTTAAAGGAATTCTGCTTGCCACTTGAATTTTATAAAAACAGCCTCTCCCAATTTCCCTTTCCCTAGACATAAAAAAAGCCTGAACTCTGTAAGATGGATTTGAGGTATCACCAGGGCTGTCATCTTCTTAGTAGGCACCTTCTCTATCAATAAACCTTTCCTTACTCTAAACTATGATGTTTTGAGTTTTGGCGTTTCAAAGTGTAAAGCACAGGTTTGTACAAGTAAAAATAGTAACAGAGTTGGGACAAATTCCCTTAGATTGAGACCTCAGGGAGGCACAAGAGGCTCAGTGATTTGTCTCAGATGACTGGTCTGCAGAGTCAGAATTAAACAGGTATGAATCCCTTATATGTGCACCAAACAGAACCAATTTAGAGACAAAGAGATCCTCTTAACCATTCTTTTTCTCATGTGTTTCTTACTTCTCAAGAAGTCTGTGGTCAAAATTGAAAAGTTGGGATAAGTCCAGCTCAGCATTCTAGGGCCAAGGCCACAGAGCTCATACTCAGAACCACAGATGAAGGAGTATAGCCAGGGGGTGGCTCTGGTCATGGCCAACTTTCCTGCAACTCTAAGGATGCATGTCCACTGAATTCAAAGAGAAGAGCACCTTTATTGCCTGGGAGCCG